CGAACTCTCGCATCGCGAGTTCCCCGTTGCCGTCGGAGAGGAGGAGCACCTCATCACGACAGCGAAGAAGCCGAGCCATGCACTTGAGGAAGGTGGTGCAGAATCCGAGGGCGCCACTGAGGACAAGCGCGTGGTTTGGCGAGCCACTTGTTGGACGAGCACGTGGTTGCCGAGCCGAGGACGAGCATCGGCTGCGGTGGCGGTGGGGGTGCTGTGGGGGAAGGTCCTCCTGCTCTGGTGCTCTCGCGCCGTTGTCATCGCCGCCGCCTCGTCGCCCATCGCCAACTGCCGGACTCTCGCCTCCCCCACCGGCTGGCCTGCTCTCGCTCCCGCTGGCCGGCGGCGAGCGCTCCGTCGACACCATTTGCGACGGCGCCTGGCCCTGCCTCCACCTCCGCGGCCACCACTGTGGTGCCCGGCCCCGCCTCCGCCTCCCGCCCAACACCGGTGGCGACACCGCGCTATTGACGCCATTCACAACCGCCCGCCACCCTCGCCTTGTCCCGCGTCGCAGCCGCCGCCGCCTTCTCCTCTCCTGCCTCGCCCTGGCGTCCTCCTCCCCAGCCGCCGGTCGGCTTGGCCAGAGAAGGGAAGAGAAGAGTGAGAGAGAGAGAGGAGGAAGAGGAGGGGAAAGAGAGAGAGGGTGATGACGTGGCATGCTGACATGTGGGCGCATGTGGGTCCCACACTGACTTAGCCACCACGTCGGATGAAACCGGGGTCAAAACCTTCGAAGGACCTAAAGTGACTGGTTTTGATTAGTTAAGGCACATTTGATATCTGATTTTGTGGTTTGAGAACGTTTTTTTTATCTTGATATCAAATTGAGGAACCGAAGTGTACTTTTTCCGAGGCATGTGACTCAGCCCATCCCGTTTGGTTGGAGGGTATTTTTAGGAGGGATTGAAAGTTTAGAGGGATGAGGCTATTAAGTGTTTTGTTTGGTTGAGAGACATGAGAATTTTAGTGGGATGGGGATCGAGAATTGAGGAAGGAACTCCCTCCTTTTCAATACCTGGGTAGGGGCAGGTAATTGGGAGGGAATTCCTCCTTTACTTTGTCTAAGTAAATCTCAGCCATACGTTTTTATTAATGAACTAATCTCCAACCAAACTCCCTATCAATTTTTGTCACCTCTACCAAATAAGATATTGGGATTAAAAATCAAATTCCTATCTTAATCCCATCATCAATTCTCTTATGTAAACTCCCAATCCCCTTCCATCGAGTTACCATATGAAAGGGATTGGGAGTTTATACAAGGGAATTGATGATGAGATTAAGATGGGAATTTGATTTTTAATCCCAATATCTTGTTTGGTAGAGGTGATGAAAATTGATAGGGAGTTTAGTTGGAGATTAGGTCATTAATAAAAATTGATGGCTGAGATTTGCTTAGACAAAGTAAAGGAGGAATTCCCTCCCAATTACCTGCCTCTACCCAAGTATTGAAAAGAAGGGAGTTCCTTCCTCAATTCCCCATCCCCATCCACCAAAATTCCCATGTCTCCCAACCAAACAAAACACTTAGAGCATGCCCAACAGCCACCCAATATTTGATTCCCAAAAAATATGAATTAGGAATTCCAAAGTAAAAATTGGGCCCAATAATCACCCTCTCCTCCAAGAGAGGCCCAAAAATTAATTCCCTATTATTTGTTAGTTTTCCACATAAGCAAGGTGGGCCTAGTTCGGTACCGATCGATCGTCTCCCTCCCCGCAATTGCGCCGAGTCTTCTCCCTCCCCGCACCAGCGCCGTGAGTCTTCTCCCTCAGCGTACCAACGCCGCCATCTGAGTCATCACCAGCCAACCACTGACTGCTGCGGTTTCTACAAAAACGGAATACTGAGGATATGCCGTAGCTATTCGTGTAATCAAGGAGGTAATCCCTAGCAAATCTTATTGATCTCTTGTGCCCTAGTCAATCTCTATGTGTTTATTTTGATATGTGAAGATTTACTGTATGGAAAATATTAAGTTTGATCTGATAATTAATTTTGTAGATTGATTATTGTTCTATTCCTGCCATCGGTTCCCCTACATCGCACTTCATCCCTACGGTAATAAACACTCCAACCCCGTGCCAAAAAAAGGAGATGAGTCGTCGAAGCACCCTCCTCCAAATGCTATTGGATGAGGAGTCTTTATCGGATGGCGAAGAAGAATTTATTTTTTCGGCAGTTGATATAGTGCACTGTCACATCCTGATTTTTGTTTCAGGATTTATAAATTATTTAATAAATTATTATTAGAATTTATATTAAATGTTCATTAATTTACAAGTGAAGTTAAATGTGGGAAATAAAATTTCCTAAATATAAAGCATGGATGGATTTAATTTTTATTAAATTCTCCATGGTTAATTATACTCTCTGGAATATTCTCGGATTTTTCGGAGCACAATTCCTAATTTTAATCATACAAAGAGCATTTCAGTAATTAACCACATATTAAATTAATCATTAAATGGTCTAATTATAATTTTGTTAAGTACTTTGAGTGTCCAAGTATTTTCAGGATTTTTCTTGAAATTATTTGAGCATTGGAAGTATTTTTAACAATTCAAAGATCATTTAAGTGATTATTTTAATTGGGAAAGTAATAAAATTCTCCTCCCTTGTCTTAGGCTGAATCGGCCCATTCCTTTCCTTCCTCTCTCTTCCGCCGGCCCAACCTGAGCCGCCTCCTCTCCTCTCAGCCCAGCCGGAAAAGTCTACTTTCTCTCCCTGCGCTACTGTTCATCTTCCAGCTCAGGCAGAGCCCGAGCCAGCCGTGCCGTGCACAATGCCGCCTTTTTCCAAATCTCGCCTCCCCGTTGCTCCTTTTTCCAATTTAGTTGAGGGGAAATATTCCTCTTATCCTCCTCTATCTTTACCCCAAAAATCGGAGCTAATCGTTGAGTATCTTATCCGAATCGAACTCGTTTTCGAGTTTATCTCCGAAACCGAGTTTTTGATTTCCCGGATCGATTTCTTGCGGGAGGAGTCCGATCTCTTCAATCCAAGGCTATAAATAGGACCCCCTAGTCCACCTCTTTCGTTTGCCCCTCTCCCGTGGTCTCCCGTGCCCCGTAGCCTCTCCGCCGCCGCCGCCGCCAAGTTCGCCGCCGCCGCCGGCCGAACTTCGGCCGTGTCGCGCCGTCGCCTCCGCCGTTGCCGTCGGTCGCCGTCACCGCCGAAAGGTGCGCCGAGGTGTGGGCAAGCTCGGCCGCTCCCTCCCCGCTGTCGCCGGTCACCGGAGCCCCGTCGCCGCCGTCGACCGAAGCCGCGCCGCCGCTAGACCTCGTCGCCTGCCGTCGTCGTTCGTCGTTTGATTCGAGAGTGAGTACCGTTGGGTTCGTCTCGTCGTCCTCTACGTGTACATGTCCTCCAAAGTCGCAGCCGACCATCCAATCTCCGGCGAGGTCGCCATCTTGGTCCGGCCATTGATGAGGTCATCATGACGTCATCATCGTTTTTCTTTTTCCTGTTTTTCTAATAGATTAAATCTTCGGAAATTCATAACTAAATCATCGTAACTCGGTTTTGAGTGGTTCAAGTTGCTAAATTCATCTAAAATCATGATCTACATGTTAAAAATATCCATATGTACTGTTTATGCTTGTTTTTGTACTGTTTATTTGGTTTTTATTAGTCTTTTTCTTCGTTTTGCGTGTTAGCTTGTCGTTTCCGTCGTTGCGAAGGTTCGTGAGTGCGTCGGGAGTGTTCAGAAGATTAATTGAAGACCGATTATTGCAAGGCAAGTCACACAAATCCTATACACAATCCTTTGAGCATGTTGATCTTATATTTAAATTCTCTATTTATTTCAACTGTGCATTTATTTTTGAATGTCACTGGGTGGTGTGAATCTATTCTTTTGTTATGGCCTGTTTGCATTGATTACTCTATTCCTTGATACCTTGGGATATTATAATTTGACTAGTTGAGCTTTATATATATTGGTTCAACTAGATGTTAGATATAATTGCTTAGCCATGCTTAGAAACATTAGCTCACTAATGGGATGAATCATATATACTACATTATTATTTATGGTTATATTTAATGGTAGCTCACGATGGTTAATCGTGTTATGATAATTAATTGGTAATTAAAATATGATTAATGGTGGGTTGTGAGCACATGGTTTTGAAGGTCGTGCTCATGGCAATTAAGGACCGGTTCGCGAGCTACTGTTGTGAAACATTAACCGTGCCAACCACAAGCCAGCGTGGGCAACAGCTTTACCTTTTGTATAGCATGGTTCATTGCAGAGCACCAGACTAAGAAGTGGCGGAGATAAGCCCACGGGGGTCGCTGGGGAGTCCATGCCTTGTTTTATAAGGGGGTGATTATGATCCAGGAATGGTGCACTGTGGTGAGTTGTGTTGTGCAGAGGGTATTGTCACAGCCTCTATTCGGGTACTTTCCAGTATCGCGACGCATGGTAGACATGATGTTAAGGCTGTGTCTTGTGGGTACAGTGGTACACCTCTGGCCAGAGTAAAACTATTCGAATAGCCGTGCCCGCGGTTATGGGCGGGTTGAGCAATGTTTTTCGTGATTAGTCTCACACCTCTCACAATAATTATTGATGCTATAACTGGTAATAATTTGTTTAGCTCCTGGTTTAGAGTTAGATCTGTACAGCCGGGTATGGTTGTTCAGGATGGTTGGGCCTGTGCAGCATGGGTGTGCTGTTCAGTGTTGATTAAAATTTCTGATTAATTACTCTACTGTTTTACTACTCTTAACTCTTTGCTAAATGCTGCTTTCGCAAATGAGACTATATTGTGCCATCCTTTGGTATCCTTGTGCATTTGCATATTTGCTGTGTGGCTTGTTGAGTATGTCATATGCTCATTCTTGCAATAATCAATCAACCTCAGTTGAAGACAAGTTGCGAAGGAGAAGACGTTTGGCTTATACCCCAGTTGAGCTGCCTGTGGGAGTGGAGCTGAAGCCATCGCTAGACCGTTAATTCCGCTGCTGTTTTTCTTTTCTTTTGTAAGTATGTAACGTTATTATTATGATGGATTTGTATATTAAATTGTCAGTTTGTGTACCTCGGCTGATTCCTGGACGAGGATTTTATGCACAAATAAGTTCGGAAATTACTAGTGAATTTCCGGGCGTGACATGCACGGTGAGTTCGATGACGATGAAGTTCCAAAGCGTGGTGGATCTGTCTTAGGTCATGCAGTAATTAATCGGGAAAGATTGGCTGGTCAAGATTGTATAATGATTATTTTTCCGAAGAACCTACGTACCTCGATGTTCAGTTTAGACGCAGGTTTGTAGCAGTGCTTTTTGTTTTGTCAATCTTTGTTTGCAAAATTGATACATATGAGAATTATTATTATTAATTACTATGCAGGTTTAGAATGAGGCGACCTCTCTTTTTACGCATAATGAATGCTATTGAAGCACATGATGAATATTTTGTGCAGAAGAGAAATGCGGCTGGTATCCTTGGACTGTCATGTTTGCAAAAGGTAACATCAGCGGCTGGTATCCTTGGACTGTCATGTTTGCAAAAGGTAACAGCAGTGTCACATATGTTATGTTATGGAATAGCAGCAGATGCAGTTGATGAGTATGTTCATATTGGAGGTAGTACCGTTATTGAGAGTTTTAAAAGGTTTGTGGTGGCTGTTGATGAAGTTTTTGGAGAGGAGTATATGAGAACACCAAACGAAAACGACATAGCTAGATTACTTGCTCAGGGGGAAGAAAGAAGGTTCCCAGGAATGTTGGGTTCTTTAGATTGTATGCATTGGCAGTGGAAGAACTGCCCGACTGCATGGCAAGGCCAATATAAAGGGAAAGAGGGGGTTCCTACTATAGTTTTGGAAGCCGTTGCCTCACGTGACCGATGGATTTGGCATGCGTTCTTCGGTTCACCTAGATCTCATAATGATATTAATGTCCTTCAAAGGTCACCATGGTTTGCAAAGCTAGCTGAAGGGCAGGCTCCTAAAGTTAATTTCAGTATCAATGGGCATGACTACACTATGGGGTACTATCTTGCATATGGTATTTATCCTTCATGGGCAACACTTGTGAAGAGCATTAAGCTGCCACAAGGCAATAAGAGAAAATATTTTACCAAAGCACAAGAAGCCAATAGGAAGGACGTTGAACAAGTGTTTGGAGTGCTTCAAGCTCGCTTTGCTATTGTCCGTGGACCAGCTCGTTTTTGGAAAGCAATTACTCTGAATTAGATAATGAGAGCTTGTATAATCATGAATAACATGATTGTGGAGGATGAGCACGATGGTGATTTTGATTTAGTTTATGATGAGATGGGAGAACAGGTGGGTGGTTCCCAAGAACATACGCCCAACTTTAATGATTTTATTAGTCAGTACGAAAAAATTCAAGACAAGGAAGTTCACAACCAACTAAGAGAAGACCTCATCGAACATTTGTGGAATCATCATGCAGATCAATATTAAGTTTAGATTTTATATTATTGAATAATGTCAGAGATTGTAATAATTAGATATTCACCGTGTGTTTTGTAATTAGTACAATACATTGAGGCCATGAATTTTCTGCATATTTCTTTTGTTTTCAAATATTCACAGGCATATTTCAGAATCATTACGCACTGATGTTTTTGTTTATTTATTTGCAAAAGACAGCAGCATCAAGCTTAATTATGTGGAATGTGAATAGCACTTGTTGTAATTTTTTAGCACCTGTAATCAGGAGCAGCATCAGAGAAAGCAGAGACAGACAAAGAAGGTCCCATGGTCTGAAACTCTGAACTTTAATCTGAAACACTCATTAAGAGGCTACCTAGCATCCATTTTATTAAGGAAGTCTGATAATGTATATGTTTTTTAAGGTTAGAGGAGTTTATTAGCACAGTGATGTTAACATCTTATTTTAATTGCAGAAAATTTATTAGTGAGAATAGGTGTGGAGATTATGGGTACCCCATACCCACACGGCATGGTTATCCGACTAGTCAAAGGGGATAGCTTATATATATGGAATATGTAACAGATTATGACTTGGGTATTACGTTTCCTTGTATATTACGGAACGGCCTAAAGTCCTGGTTTGATAAGATTATAAAGTAGAGTTAGAAAACCGATACCGTATTGGATAAGGTTTCTATCTTGTAATCCTGCCCCCCATCCTATATAAGGTGGGCAGGAGGCCCTCTAGGGGGCATGAGACAACCTGATCGTCAGATCAATACACACCCCGGCGGATTCAAATCCCCAAACAGGAGTAGGGTATTACCTCTCATCGAGAGGGCCTGAACCTGTCTAAATCCTTTGCCTCCGCATCCATCCACTTTTAGGTCTCGTGCGCTACCCCCTTTTCATATTGTCGAATTCATGTTTCGACAGTTGGCGCACCAGGTAGGGGTTGCGTTGAGTTACCTGTCGACAAGTGCGATGGAATCAACTTCATGAGTCACCGGCTTCATCTTCGCTTCGGGAGTTTTTTCGCCGACCACTTCAACATGCTCTTGCTCTTCGACTCGGATCCAATCTAGCCGGGAAGATCAGTCTCGACATGTTCGATGGATTCAATTTCCACCGCCGTCAATACCTCCATGGAAGACCTCAGTTCAAGATCAAATACCATATATACATGCCCTGCCGCTGTCGGAATCCGATCATTGCCAGGACGAGTCCCACGCCAATTATCCGTTCGGCCTGATTTCAACTCAGCTGCGATTAGCCAGACGCAGAACGACGGAAGGCAGTCATCTATCCAATAGGAATAGTAATCATGTGCGATTTCGCCATGTATACAATATACATGCATATAGCAGAATCCACTGACAACAGATTGATCTGGAATTATAATTAGCAGACTTTGCAGCACGTGTCTCCAATTACTGAAGCACCAGCATATATACTATCGTTATTCCCAGGCAGATTTGTTTGTTTTGGGAGCTTGGACTTTGCCGCCATGCATAGGCAACGTTGTCTAATATGGAGTAATTAAGATTCATGCAACTACTACATGATTTAATCACCGGATGGCATCGATCAATCCACCTCTGTCCGAGCTGTACACGAGTGCCTGATCTAAATGCACAGAGGCACGTCGCCAGGAGGACGAGTCGGCAGAGTCAAACCAACGAGCTGGGCAGACGTCGCATGCTACCACATGGATAGACCGGCAGGAGTGCGAAGCTGTTTCTCCGTTCCCTGACTTCATCGTTGCCGGCTTGCCTCCGCCATCATCACCGCCGGCCTGCCTCCGTCGCCGCCGACCGGTGTCCTCGCCTATACGGTTGGTTGGTCACACCACCGTTCATGGGCGTCCACATCTTCACTGACCGGCCGCCTCGTCCGCTGCCGACTGGTGTTTCCGCCTGCACGGCTGGCCTATTATATGCTGCCGTTGTTGGGCGTCCGTCGACTGGTGTCCTCGCCTATACGGTTGGTTGGTCACACCACCGTACATGGGCGTCTACGTCTTCACCGACCGGCTGGCCTTCGTCGCCGCCGACTGGTGTTTCCGCCTGCACGGCTGGCCTATTATGCCGCCGCTGTTGGGCGTCTACGACTTCACCGCCGGCCTGCCTCTGCCGCCACTGACTGGTGTTTTCGCCTATACGGTTGGCGGACTTCGCCGCCGTTAATGGGCTTCATCATCTACACCACTGGCTTGGTTCCACTGGCGCCGACTGTTGTTTTTGTCACCACTGATGGACTGCTTCATTCCCACATCGGCTACTTCTGTTGTCACCGAGGGAATACGACAAAGCTTAGTCATCATTTATTTTATTCTTTATATGATATTTTACCTTTTCCTTTGCCTCACTACATCAACTGGTTCGCTGTTGACTAGTGAGTCGGGGGCTACAAATGTTATATCATATTTTTTAAACAATTTTCATAATATTTATCTTGATTGCTTGCGACTTATTCTGAGTACAAAAGTGCCTATCGAGTTATGGAGTTCCATCTTCCTATGCTTTCCGTTTGGTTTGCCAATGGATAGTTGCCTTTGGGCCGATTCCTAGCACCCGGGGGCTTGTTGGATGGACCGAATAACGCAAGGTGCTAAGCATTATTCGGAATAAATCAAAAGCATAGAGATAAGATAATTTATTTTCTGCTCTTAATAATTGCAAAAGTACCCGAGTAGTAAACTCCGACCCGTGAAACTTTATTCCATTAATGACGAACTCATGTCACTCATATGCATGTTTGGGAAGTGCTTAGGCCGACTCCCGGTGCTTGGTAGCTATGACTAGTCGGGCAGAGTGTTTAAACGTAATGAGTCATCTGTTTGGGGAAATCAAAATTGACAAGAGAAGAAATACATATTTATAAATATTTTAAAATACTTGCATTTTTCTCGAGTATTATATTTACATCAGATACTACTCATCCTATCTGTTTGTTCTGTAGGATCCAGATCCAGATATGCATAAAAGGGATTCACGGCTTTAAGCTTATCTCCTACGCTTCAGGAATGGATCAGTCAGAACATCACCATCGGCTTGCGTTCGTCTGCCGCCGGCTGGTGTCTCCGCCTGCACGGCTGGCCAATTATGCCGCCGTTGTTGGGCGTCTACGTCTTCACCGACCGGCCGCCTCGTCTGCCGCCGACTGGTGTCTCCCCCTGCACGGCTGGCCTATTATGCCGCCGTTGTTGGGCGTCTACGTCTTCACCGACCGGCCACCTCGTCTGCCACCGACTGGTGTCTCCGCCTGCACGGCTGGCCTATTATGCCGCCGTCTGTTGGGCGTCTACGTCTTCACCGACCGGCCGCCTCGTCTGCCGCCGACTGGTGTCTCCGCCTGCACGGCTGGCCTATTATGCTGCCGTCTGTTGGGCGTCTACGTCTTCACCTACCGGCCGCCTCGTCTGCCGCCGACTGGTGTCTCCGCCTGCACGGCTGGCCTATTATGCCGCCGTTGTTGGGCGTCTACGTCTTCACCGACCGGTCACCTCGTCTGCCGCCGACTGGTGTCTCCGCCTGCACGGCTGGCCCATTATGCCGCCGTCTGTTGGGCGTCTACGTCTTCACCGACCGGCCGCCTCGTCTGCCGCCGACTGGTGTCTCCGCCTGCACGGCTGGCCTATTATGCCGCCGTCTATTGGGCGTCTACGTCTTCACCAACCGGCCGCCTCGTCTGCCGCCGACTGGTGTCTTCGCCTGCACGGCTGGCCTATTATGCCGCCGTCTGTTGGGCGTCTACGTCTTCACTGACCGGCTTGCCTTCGCCGCCGCCGGTGTCTCCGCCTACACGGCTGGCCTATTATGCCGCCGTCTGTTGGGCGTCTACGTCTTCACCGACCGACCGCCTCGTCGTCTCCGACTGATTATTTCGTCACCAAGGCTACAAAACTCTGTCGCTATTGCTGGGTGCATTCATCTTCACTGTTAGTTGATCTGACTGCCGCCGACTGGTTTCTTCGCTTCCATGCCGATTGCATCAGCTATCACCGATGGATAATTTCAACTACTCCAAAAGGACAAGCTATATACTCAGGGGCTTACTACCTCAAACACCAGTATCATACCTTCAATTTGGACTTGTTCCGGATACATGCAACATGAATTTAATGATCATGGGTCTATTTTCTATGCTCAAAGACTGGACTATTTATTATTCCCCATAAGAGTTATCAACCGAATACTTGCGCCGGTCGGGATTCAATTATTATATCTATTTTGGAGTATCCCATAAGGGATAATCATTCAGATCAGAAGAACAACACTTCATGTTTACCTATGCAAACTAACAATTTCTCACACTTTATTTTAGGGGTCCACCAAAAAAAAGGCTGAAGAAAGCATCTTCCAGTAACATAGTGACTAGCATTGTTGTGGCCACTCCTGGATCAGGCATGGTATTCCCACACAATGAGGTGGCGGCCAGTGCTACACAGAAGCCAAAGAGAGTGAAAAAAGCCGCCAAAAAGAAGGGGCCACCAACATCAAGAAGTACTGACAATTCGATGACGAGCAGGTATGATCTTTCACTTTTCCTAATCTTGTCATTTCCAACCTCACTGATCTCTTTTTCTTGCTTTCACACAAGGTCTATAACTGGATCCAATAACCCCTTTGCTCTCCAAATTGAGCACCCTCCAGTTGTTCATGATGACATTGCATCCTATGAAGTCTCTCCACAGACAGTGGACACACCAAGGAAGAAGCAAGCCGTCAAGAAGTGTACACCAAGGAGGGCTCCTATTGAAGTGGCTAACCCATCCAGCCCAGCTTCTAATACTAGAAGCAAGAAGAAACTCCAGCTTGAATAAATTATGTGGAGGAACTACTACTTTTGATGTAATTTAAGACATGTATGGTTTGGTGTGATGAAAACTAGTGAACTACTACTTTTTATGTGTGGACTTAGTGTGATGAAAACTAGTGAACTTGTTGCTGTGAACTTGGTGCTATGAACTTGTTGCTATGAACTTGTTGCTATGGATGCAATGGTCATGTATGGTTTGATATGAACTTGTATGGTTTGATATGAACTTGTTACTATGGGTGCAATGGTCATGCCCTTGTTTTGTCCATGTGATATGTTGTTATTTGTCGGTATGTAATGGTCATGCACCTGTTTTTTCCTTTTTAAAAAAATTATTTCCGATTTTTCCTTATATTTTCCACCATTTTATAATTTTTCCCACATTTTCCTAAATTTTCCCGGATTTTTAAACATTTTCAAAATTTATTCTCACTTTTTCTGATTTTTACCTTTTTTTAAAAAATATTTTCCATTTTTTTGATTTTAACGCCTTTTCTAAATTATTTTTCACTTTTCTGATTTTTTTTAAACCCATTATTGTACACAAGGGCAAAACTGTCTTTACACAGCCCCTAACACCTCTGTTATGTCTCCATCCATCCAAAATAGTACACGGGTCAATAAAAATTGGGCTCACGGCGTATAAGTAACTTCAATTTTTTTTATGGTGCACACTTAAGCAGCAACTTTGAACAGGAGTAAAAACTCCGGGACGAGCGCGTCTTGAGAAAATGAGAAAGAAACGGAGGAAAAAAAAAAGGAAGGATCGGCGCATGGCATTTCTCTCCCAGGCGCTGCCACAAACGTCTCCGTGCCCTTCCGCCGCCGATCCCGAGAGAAGGCCCCGACCAGAGCGCCTCCCCCGCGCCCCAAGGCCGAAACCCTAGCCGCGCCACCTCCCAGGTCCCCACGATCGCCCCGGAAGGCGGTGGTGGCGACGGTGGGTGGGGGAGGAGGACGGAAGGCACACAGGCCGGTGGTGCCACGGCGACCACCATGTCCGCTGTAGTGTGCGGCAAGCGGGCTTCCTCTTCCTTCTTCGAGGATCTCACCCACCCGACCGGCGGCTCCCCTCCCGCTGCCAAGCGTACCCGCTGCGGGGGCGCCTTTTTCCCGCCGCCGCCGCCGCCCACCTGGCCACGCGGCGTCACCAAGAACGACCTTGTCGCCCGACTCTCTACGCAATTCCCTGCCATGAGCCTCGAGGTGAGCCTCCTCCCACCCTCCTCCTTCCCCCTCTTTGGGGTGCAAATTCGGATGCGGATATGCAGGAGAACCTTGTAGTGGGAGAGGTAATTTTTTGTTGAGGGATTTTTTTGGATGTAGAAAAATGCAGTCTTGTTGAGATTGGTAGCTGCTGTACCCATCCGCGATGGAAGAAGCGGTCTTCTCATTGGGCCTCAATTGTCCGTTGAATTTGATGAAGTTTACTTACTTTGATTTTGTATCTTCATTTACCTTGTTATCTTATTCTCTACCTTGCACTTTTCGTTTCTGCACTGAACTAGGAAATACCATAGATAGATGGAATGATAGTTCAATCCTGAACTGGTTTAGGTCTCATGTGTTAGGAGAGGAAAGGCCTTTTTGATTCTTGCAGGACTTTGGGTTTGGTGTGACCATGACACTGAATGATTTGACACAGGTGAAGTCTAGACAGCTGCAAATTTAATCACTAGAAGTGCAAGCCAACCACATAAACATTTGTGCTTTGCCTGGAAGGATGTTCATTGACAATCCAACTTGATGACTCGTGAGAGGATTTTGATTACCAAACTGCTTAGGAAGTTTTGAGCACTGTAATGGAGATGATATCTATATCTCATTCCACTTCTTTAGATTTAGATTAGCATAATGTAAAATACCATAAGCTTATATCCAATTAGATTGTGCTAAATTCTACATTGATTGATTGGTAATTTTGGTTAGGAAAGAGTTTGTATTGATGGATGCATGACTTCCTTGGATTATTCTTCTAATTTGCTATTTTGCAAAAGATTTTTTCTTGTATTTTCATGAGAAGCTCTGGTGCATGTGAATGTGGAAGTTTTGCGAAAATCCTGATACAAGTCATTGTTGCTCTCAGATGATTGAAAAGGCTCTGGACAAATCTGGAAATAATGTGGATTCAGCAATAAGGAGTTTGCTTAATCTACATTTGGAATCTGTGCAAAATAACAGTGGCGTTGCATTTGAACCCATACAAGAAACCACTGAGGTTCAGGTGTCTGCTGAAGGTAATTTTCAACTGGGTACTTTAATCATCTGTGGCATATTGAATATCAACTATCTTCTTTATGGTTCTGTTTGGCATTGAGGTGTATTATGATAATCTTGTTTGGTGCAACTACTTCTAGGCATTTTTGTTGTTTGGCAACTGATTTTCTTTTAAATTAAGTTACCGCAATAATATCATTGCATTCTGAAAATATGGAACAATTGATAGTTACAACAGTTAAATAATGTATTTTTCTAACCTTAATTTGATCTGTAAAACAAATTACAACAATTATAAATTATGTTTCTACAGAAACTTAATAATAAGCACATCACAAGTAAACAACTGCAAACTGAGCCTGTTGCTCCTTTGTTTGTGCTTTGAATTCTATTTTATGGCATAGAAGCAGCTGAAGGTCATGAGAATCTAAAAGCGAGAAAATCCTGTTTACCAACCTAATTTTTGGTTGTGCTGGACCTAAAGAATTTTTTAGTAAATCATCTTTAATACCCCTTCCCCCGCCTACACACACACATGCACACCCACGAACACGCATACACTCAAATGACAGTTTCTACTCATCGAGAAGGTTTGTATTTGTAACATCAAACTTTCTATAAGGAAACATGTAATGTTGGCTAAATTTGTTTGTACATTAGTAGTACATTGGTTTATAAAAGGAGCACAGTATCAAATCTGTGGAGAGTTGCAATATGTAGACATGAACACATGTTTTACATTAATACAATGAACACTGGCCAATCTGGAGACATGAGCACTTGAATATCAAAGTAACATGAAAACACAAGAATACATGAACAATCACGGTAAATCATGATATTCATGAACAGAAGAAAATACCAACAGATCTAGAGTCTTGAACAATCACATCAAATACAAGAACACAATCCTTCTCAAAACACACGTGCACACATGAAAACTGGAGGATCTGTTGGCACGAGTACGAAATTGATCCTATTGGGACCGGTGGTGCTGAGGTGAGAAGTATCCTTGGGGGTCACGAGAGGAGATATACCACCCATGCTGACGGTTGAGGAGTCTCTGGTAACTGCTGGTGGTGTTGAAGGTTTAGTAGGGTCACCCTTGGGGCTGGGGCTGGGGCTGGGGTTGGTATGGCCAGTGGTGGAGCTAGGATTTAGACTTGAGGGGAGTGACAATAATAAAAAAAAATTCCATCAGAATACACACTAAATTCAAGCATTTTACATGGATGCTACATCATTTCAATTATATGTTTTGATCATACAAAAGAATGTTCCCATGCCTACTATTACACAGTTACATACATACTTTGCGAAGATTTAGTTTATGTGCTAGCATGCAAAGATAGGATGCAATAATCATCATTTACCTCTTTGCGGTCTGAACTTAGCTAGTATTGGAGGCTTGAATGGAGCCCAATACACCGAAATGCTTAAAATAATATATTGCCTTTTCTTTTTCTTTTTTTTTTGGTGGGGGGGGGGGGTGGGGGTGGGCAGGGCCTCCCCTCGCCCTTCCCTGTCTCCGCTGCTGGGTATGGTGTTAATGGGAGGAGAGGGGGCAGCATGTCTAGGAGGGAAAGTGGAGGTCCGGCTGGGAATGAGGTGGAGCTGTGGCCGGGAGGGAGGCAGAGCTGTGTCTGGGAGGGCGATCCTGACATCTCAGGGACAAAAATTGACATTGAAGACCATTTACCTTGACCTCTGCCTTATTTGACTTGGAGCCATTCCATAAAGGTGTTTTTTAACATGATCTGTTTGCCGGACAAATGCATTCTATAATATAAGCCAAAGTTATATTACTCCACTTAGGTGGCATATGCATTGAACCCTTGCATGTTCCCCATGATGCCATGATTTTTCTTAGAAAGATTCTTGACTATACAAGTATGCTTTTGTGCATTCTCTGTTAGTATTATCTGATAGCTGCATAAGTCATCCTTTGGATCTTTTCAGATAATGTCTGAGGAAAAAACTATTTACAAGAACACTCTTGGCGAATTTTTAAGGTTTGGCACATAAATCACCAAATGGAACAGCAAAACTCTACAGATATATTCCTACATGCACCTGGGTCTTGGATAGCAAACATATCATATTGAGAATATCCTTGTGGAGGGGTTTCAGGTCATTTAAGACCGTGAAGGTAAATTGTCATGTTACTCTCCAATCTCAATTGGTGTTATGTAGTTCTTGGCCTGCTTGTCCTCTTCTTGCTTCTAAAATTTAAAATTGAACAGACCTTGGATTATTAGGTTGTAGGATCAGTGGTACTAAAGAACAAGTGAATAATAAAAAATAATTACATGGTGATAAAATATCTAATATATGATATATCTGCTATAGACCATAAAAGGAAAAGGAACACAAATGGTACGAATTTACAGATATACAAAAGTTTCAGCCAAATAAACAAGCAAATTATATCTTAGGTGAACTGTCATGTGTTTTTGGTTCATGGTAATTCATTACTCTACCAAGAGTTTCTTTCAGTAATCATATATCACGTCATGAAGTTGAAGGAGTGGCTTCTCAAATGAGATGGACTGGAAAATATTACAAATAGAGAAATATATTTCACAATGTCATTACCGCCAGACATTCTGTCTGTCCAAAGGCAGGTTAATGTCCAATTAGGATTGAGAAAAAGGCAGGTTATTATCCCTTCTCCTTGTGTGCAAAATCTGAATCTTAACGTTTGCAATTTCTTTTTTGTCACAACATCATATTCTCTTAGTTTAATGTCAGAAATTTTATTTTCTTAAAAAGTCTGAATAAAGTTCTATACCGAGTTTCAAATTTAAGCATGATTTATTTTTTAAAATTTTCCTTTGTTTCAAATGTTTGTGTAATTCCACTGGGATTTCATCTCTTGCCTACCCCTATGGTTTATTTTTTAATCTTGGATTTTATATAGTGGTATTGACAGAATTCTCTTCAGCTATAGACTTCACAATGATTGCAATGCTAGTTGAAAAAAAAAATCTCTTCAACTCTAATCAATTAATATTGTTTTTTAGGGTACACAACATTGTGTAGGAAGATGTCTGACTGTATTTTAGTATGGCATTAAGAAAGTGATTTACTTTGCTTGCTGTTTGTGCTATCTGCCTGTGTGATACTGTCATGCTCAGGTCTGTTAGATCCGAATTTTGTTTGGTGCTGTATACCATGGTAGGTGTGGCTTGTAGACTGACATGTGCACTATGTTATATCTGTATGTTCACATGTTTGCTACTTTCATTCATCATTTGCCTCTAGTGACCTTTTTAGTCGCCCATCACCATTGAATTTCATGACTATTTTGTTGGCAGTTGTTTCAGATGGTAACGAGATTGGTGCACCTTCAGAAAGTGCCCCTTGTCCTGAGAACTTTCCGTCAAATGGCTCAGAATGGGTCGAGCTACTTGTGAATGAGATGACAACTGCTTCTAACATGGATGATGCAAAGTCTCGTGCCACCAGAGTGCTGGAGGCTTTTGAGAAGGCTGTGGTGTCTCATGTCAATGCTCAAGGACCTCATGATTTTCAAAAGGTTGTTGGAATATCCTCCTGTTAACTTTACATGATTCTATCAATTGTTGTTCAAAATCATAGCTATAGTAGATGTGTTGCAACAAATCTATAAGATCAGTTTACAGCCGTAAGTTGCATTTGGTGCATGCAGTCTATTTGACTATTTATTTAAATTACTTGAGGAATTTTCCTTTATCACCATAATTTCCTGAGGTAACATGGCAGTCAAACAGGAAAATGCAGTGCTTAAGGGGCAAATGGAATCGCTTACAAGAGAAAACACCATTCTGAAGAGAGCATTTGCGATACAGCATGAGCGGCAGGACTATGATGCGAAGAATCAAGAACTACAGGATGAGAAACAGCGCATTGCTGAGTTCCAAGAACAAGTTAGAAACCTTGAGGTATGTCAGATTTAATTACCTTCTCCATCCACTGATCGACCCATTACTTTCAATTTCAGTCCCCTCTATATTTCTTGGAATTCTTTATTTCATTGAGGGATTCCGTGGTAGAATTAAGTAGAGTTTCTAGATGACTGCTGCAAGTCATAGTTTTGTGACGTTACTGATAATAGCACTGTCATAAATTTGTAGTTTTCTTAATATTATGCCATACCCAAATTATTGGCATGGTAGAATATGCTGCCACACCACATGGGTTAGAAACGGTGGGATAGCAAGGATTAGGGACACTGGTTGCTGTTCTAAAAATAAGTTATTGGTTGGTATGTTAAGAAGGTTAAAAAAAAAATCCTGCCCGTATTGTGAAAATTAGGGAAACAGATAATAAACATTGTCATTAAGAAATAATAGGCTGCCTTTTCTCATTGAATCCGTGGAAAATCCTCTCAAAAGAATCCATGGGAAATTAAAGAGAAGCTAACCTTTTTTTTTCCCTTTTTTTTTTTTGCAGCTTAATAACTACAGATTGAGCATGCTCCTTAGGCAAGCTCAGCAGGGCAGCTCAATTCCAGGGCGCTTTAATCCGGATGTTTTCTAAGAGGAAGTGCAAATTCCACCTTTCCTTTGCATACGAGTTCGGAGGCTTAAGATGTTACTATAGCATGCAAATCTTAAGCTTAAATTTTTGTTGTGGACGTGTAAGTTTATGTTCCGCTGTAGTATGGGCAGCGGAATATTATGTTTTATAAATGATGGGCAATTCATGGTCAATAGATAAATTCTAGGACTTATTTTATCGAATGACTTATTTTTCTTACCGATCACATTTCAACCACTAATAGTTCAGTATCCAGCAACTTTTAGGCTGAACGGTTCCCAACTCACACCGAATTTTTTTAATATAATAATTAATAACCCCATAATTAAATATCTGGTAAATCAAAGTTGAGATTTTTAATAATAGGATGGACGCTGAAGAATACAGCGTCCAGATGTGGACGCTGTTTGTAAAATCGTCCAGAGCTGGACGCTCTGGCTAACTACGTCTAGCATATGACCGGTCGCCTAGGTCGGTCCGGTGGTCCCAGTACGAACAGAAGCAAAATGAAAAAGAGAAAAAAAAAAGAAAAACGGGAAGAGGAACCGTTTTGGCGACGCCACTGCCCGGAAAGTCCTCCACGCGCGGAACAGCGTCGCCCATCCATCAGCCACCGCTGCGCGTCCAATCGCATGAAGGGGCCGGCCGTCGCAGCCCTCGTTCTCGGCAGCGCCGCCCATCCGCCGCCACTGCTCTCCTCCACACGCGAGGGCGACGCCCGCCCGTCCACCAACGCCGCCTGCCTCATACGCTTGTGGGGGTTCGCCGGCACTGCCACTTGCCCACACATCCCATTCCCAGGTGGTCTCCTCCGCCGTACACCTCCACGTGTAGTGTAAGTGCCGTTTGTTTGCATGCATAGTCAGTTCTTTCCGTAATACATGTGTGATTATACCATCCTATATATGTCCATCTTGTTAGTATGCTTGATTGTTGTGATAATGTGGATTAAAGAAATACATAATTAGTTATATTAGATTTGTCATGGGAGTTGTTTCCAAAATACTGAATTGCTCATTACATTTTTACATTCACCATATCTTTGCATTGGTAATATAAATTCTCAGCAATTCACATTGATTACAGCTTATAAAAAAATGCTGATAGCGTGATCAGTTCAGTGATTTATTATGGTGCCTCATGGCCAGCACTAAATATCTACCATTGAAGAAAATCTGAGTATTTTTTCAGTTTGCCGTACCTGTTGAAATCTGTTTTTTTTTCTCATCTATTCATGTTAATCTCCTTAAGTAATTGTTCTATGTTTTCATGCATACAGCCTAGCGGTTCCATGAATATATGGCGTCATCACCATGGAATTCTTTACCACCCACTTTACCAATCAGCTCTAGAAAATATTGGATTTCTTTCAATTGCAAAGATGAAGGCTAGGTAGTGGAGTTCCATTATCCCAATAGGGTAATGAGACAATTTGAAATAAAACAAATGATTCCACTACCTCATCCACATGGAGAGGCCGATCTCCGTAGGCTGCGAAAAGTCAAGCACGTAGGAGGGAAAACTTGTGATTGGAGAAATTTAATGCCAAATATATGTTCAACAATATGATCAATGGAGATGAAAGTGAATACGTACTCGCGTGATGAATCTCTAGTGTGTGCTAGCTGCCGGCGCCACAGCCGGTCAGCCGCACAGGCAAAGGCGATGCTGATGGAGTCCTTCGTGGCAAGGCGTGTCGTCAGCTAGCCGCGTGCGATTGGTGACGCATACTGCGCCGCCTTTGCTGCCCGCCGGTGGCGATGAGGGATTGCCGAGGAGGCCAGGATGCGGTCGCTAGAGAACGGCAGTTATTTCGGCGCTGATTGGTTTTAGGTGGATACGTTCGGGCCGGTTTGGCACGGTTCGACTGCACCCGTATGGTGGACGCTGTTCACAATAACGTTCAGACCTGCACGCTCTAGAGAATAGCGTCCACATCTGGACGCTAACAAAAACAACGTCCATCCTACTTTGCTAATTACTTGCACGCAATTACCAGATGTTTAATTACGGGGTTATTAATTATTATATATAAAAAAAATCGGCAACTCACATTCCTTCGCGCGCATGGTTTCCAAACTGCCAAACAGTGTTGAAAGTTATCTGAAAATTTGACAAATTGATCCTATTGAAAAACTTATTTCAAAACTAAATCGTGTAAAAAAAAACTTAAAAAAAATACTCCTTGAGCTTAGCACCATATACCTTGGTGTGGAGTGATTCAATGATTTAGCAGAAGAATCCCACACTGACTTGGGATCAGCGCCAATAAAAGATGTATCATTTCTATCAGTTACTTCTTTCATTTCATTAAGTAAGTTTTTCTAGCATTACCCACATATATATATATATATATATATATATATATATATATATATATATATATATATATGTGTTAATGAATCAAAAGTCTTACATTATGAAGTGGAGGGAGTAGTTACAAAGATGTATGTGGTAAGAAGGTTACTATGCTATAACCACTAATTAATTAAATAAAGATAGAAATATACGTGCTACTGCTAACCACTAATAAATAAAGAGGAGAAAAAAAAACTAATACTTCCGTTTCAGGTTATAAGACTTTCTAGTATTGTCCATATTCATATGGATATTAGTGAATCTAAATACGGATATCTAAATGAATGTGGACAATGCTAGAAAGTCTTATAACCTGAAACGGAGGGAGTAATTAATTAAAAGAAGATAGAAATATAGGTGCTACTGCTAACCACTAATAAAATAAGAGGAGAAAAAGAAAAGGAAAAAAAAAAGGCAAGGACCAAACCACCAGACTACTGCTACAGGACATCGTGATTTCGTGGTTTTAGCTCCAGGACACCGCACGAAGTCACTTTTGGGGGAAAACACTCTCAAAACATAGTTATTTGCCAGCGGACACCGCGCCCATTAAAATAATAATTTCCGGTTGAATACGAGAGAGAAATCACGTGAAATGTCAAAAATACCTTGGGCCGACATGTCAGCTCTCTTATCTCTATCTGCGAGGTGAGGCGGGGCGCGGCGCCACCGACGGCCGGAGCGGCGTCTGCGAGGCGAGGCAGGGCGCAGAGGCCGGAGCCATGTTTTCATTGCTGCTCCCGGCGGCAGCCGACGCGACGTCGTCAGCGCTGCTGGACCTCCTCTTGCTGCTCTGCCCCATCCTTGACTTCCACGCCTGCACCGGCTCGCTGTCCTCGTCAACGCCTACCCTTATTTCGCCTACGCTGAGGACCCCACCAGCGTCGAGCTCGAGTACACGCTGCTTGAGCTGACCTACGCCGGCGTTGCCGCACCGTCCTCCGCCCTGCACTACCCCAACTTGCTCGTGGCGCAGGTGGACGCCGTGTACCATGCCATCGCAGCGGCCAACACAGCAGCGGCGAGGGCGGTGGAACTGCGTGGCAAGGTGGGGTGCGGAGGCCCGGCGCGGGCGCGGTGGCTGTGCGTGTGGCGTGGTGAGGCGAGGCGGCGAGCGGAGGCCCAGCGCGGGTGCGGCGGCCGTGTGGGCGGCGCGGCGGCGGCTCGCGGTGACGCCGTGCGGGGTCCGTCTGGCTGGGGCTCACGGCGGCCGTGCGGGCGGTGTAGCAAGGCACAAAAGCTGTGCGGGCGCGGTGGTGGCGGCTTGCGGTGACTCCGTCCAGCAGCTCACGCCAGCTCAGCTTTGGTGCCCATTGGCCGCCGTAGGAGCTCGCGCACCAGTAGCGCCACGCTTCAGTGCCGTTGTCGAACCTCAAGGTGACCGCATTGTTGTCGTCGGGGTCCAGCCACACACTCGAGCTCCACCTCACACGCTTCGCTGCCGAGCTTGGCATCCCGTTCGAGTTCACCGCCCTCGTGTTCGACCCCCTCAGCAGCGTGTCCCCGCCCTTCGGACTCTCGGCCGCGCCCGACGAAGCGGTGGCCGTCCATCTCACGACTGGCTCGATCCATGACCTTCTCACCGGCGCCCGCACACCTCCTTGTCGTCAAGGAGCTCCGTCCTGCTATTGTGTAAGGAGGAAGAGAGATAGGGAGATAGAGAGAGAACAGAAGAGAGATAGGAGAGCTGACATGTGTGTCCAATGGTATAGTTGACATTTCACGTGATTTCTCTCTCCTCTTCAAATGGAAATTATTATTTTAATGAGCGCGGTGTCCACTAGCGAATATCCAATATTTGAGAGTGTCTTCCCTAAAAGTCACTTCGTGCAGTGTCCTACACTAAAACTACGAAGTCATGATGTTCTGTAGCAAAATTTGCCTTAGTTCATTTACTAGTGCTCTACTGCGCTCCATTTGTTTGTTAGAAAATAAAATCTCTCAGCACCAAAGCATACGGTGTTTATACGTTCGACCTCCGCGACAGGAAGGTTAGCATTGAGCTCGAGAAACTTGCGGGAATATATGTAGTGCAAACCTATACCAACATGCAAACTTGGAAACCAGATTGTTGACCATTGGAATGAAGATGGACGGTCCAGATTGAGCGCCTCACCCCTATTGCACATTTTGCAAAAAAAAAAAAAAAAAAAAAACGCATGCCTCTCATTGTCCTTTTTCTGTTTTGGTCCTTGGACTTATTGTATTTCCTCTCTATCCATGCATGCATTCACTTTTTCCATGTTCAAAATGATTTTCTCCTAAATTACTTATCCAATCTACAATCCGATCATACCGTTGTATTTGTTGCAATTAAATCTTTACAACAAGATGACACATGACTATGTTTTAGCAAAAGAAAAACGTATGTTTCAATCCGTTAACACTCGTTGTTTCGTACATGATAGTGATATGTTTCAACGTGTATATTCACTATGTTTCACATTTGACCATCATGCAGATTTTGAAGTCAATCCGGCACTGTTTCATCAAGTAGATCGAAAATGTTTCTATCTTTTAAAATACAATCAAATCACCCATGAAACATTTTGCTACAACGTATGTGTAACATACTCGAATTTAGGATTAAGGAATTCTTGTCAAAACTAGTTGAAAGGAAAGTTCTCCAATTTTGTGAACCAAAAATTTCCATTTTAAAACTAGGTGAAGTTGATCTAACTTGTACTGAAGTAAAATTTGAGAGCAAATTAAAACCTTTTCATCTTTAACCTATACCAAGCATGCATACTCGCTTACATCGTGTTTTGACTTGAGTCCTTGTGTGCATTTGGATTTTCGATTTGCATTTCATAATAGGTGTCATGAATAATAACTAAGATCTAGATAAACAACTAAACCATTAGGGCC